TATTCTTTGGAACTCTGCATTCAAATGGGAATATCTTTCCTTTTCTCCTTTGCTTTTCACTTCTCTTCTTTTCACAGCTATTTGTAAGGCCTCCTCAGACAGCCATTTTGCTTTTTTGCATTTCTTTTTAAAAAAATAAATATTAGACTTTGATAAACAGAATTAAATCTCAAGGAAATATTAGTCAAGCTCAAATGAAAGGGATATTGCAAAAAAAAAAAAGTTGCCTATAGTCTTCAAAAATGTCCTGAAAGGCCAAAAAAAGACTAAAGAACAGTTCCAGAGGAAAGAAAGATTTTCAGTTTTATATCATATGAAAAAGTAAATGAATTAGAATCTAGGTAGAGAAAAAAGAAACTTCTTTTTTTGCTCTGAAGGACATTGTTGTGATAATTAGCAAAATTAAAACATGGACCTTTTGTTAGATAACTGTATTGGTCAATGTGAACTTCCTTAAGTTTGAAAGTTATACCAGTTACATAAGAAAACAGCCATGTTCTTCAGAGACATGTGCTAACATGTGTACGTAAGGGCTAAAGGTCATGATACCTAAAATTTACTCTCACAGGATTTTTTTTTTTTTCTTTTTTTTTTTTGGCTTTTGAACCTCATGGCTTGAGGGATCTTAATGCCCCAACTAGAGATTGAAACTGTGCCCTTTACAGTGGAAATTCAGAGTCCTAACCACTGTATGAGATGCTTAGATAGCATCACCAAAGGGCAACTGAGCAACTGAACACTACTGAGCAACTCAGCAACAACAATAACCACTGGACTACCAGGGAAATCCCTCGAATGATTTTTAAAATCATAATACGTGAATATTTAGGGAGAGAGATAAGACAAACACAAGGAATTGTTAACAACTAGTGAATTTAAGTGAAGGCTGTATAGATATTCACTAGATTATTCTTACAACTCTTCTGTAGGTTTAAAATTTATCGTAACAAAAAATTAAGAAAGAAAAAATAAGCAAAATATTTCAAATAACAAAGCCATGGTTATGTGTTTTGATCCCCATCAGACACTCAGCTGGTGCTCACAACCTGCCAGGCATGGTCACTTTTTTCAAAGCATATTATTGGTCCCCAAATGAAAGAGCAAAGATTAACCTTTCTTTTTTGATTGGCCAGAATACTCTGAGTATTTTATGTAAAAACGACTAAATGAAAACGTCAGGTTAAGAGAAACATGCAACTACCCACATGCAATTTCCTGATCTCTGATTAAGGAAATCCCCCCTCCCTCCCCCACCCCACCCCATTCCCCGGAGTTCCGGATCTGTTTCCTCATTAAAGGATCTTGTTTCTAATTAAGATCAGGATTAATCATACAGCTCGAGTATCGGCAGTCTTGCGCATGAATGGCAGAGGACAATTTCGTTCAGTCTCTGAAGACGCGGCGCAGCCTGGACAGACAAACCCGCGGGCGCCACGTCCCGGCCCGAAGACTGTCCCCTCGGCCACCGGGGACCCGCGCACCTTTCGACTGCGCGATGTAGATCAGGCGGCTGAAGATCTTGCGCATGCGCGGCTTCAGGGCGAAGTTCTTGGCGCCGCCAGTCACAGAAATGACCAGGTTGGGCGTTTTCAGGTGCCAGTGCTGGGTCAGCAGCTCGTACAGCGGCTCCGCGTCCGTGTCGCAGGACAGCCGGATATACTGTGGGGAAGGGCAGAAGCATCAGGGTCTGCAGGCGATCTCCTGATGGCGCGGGCGTGGCCCCGTCTACCTGTTCCTTTGGGACGGGAGCGCATGGCAGCTGAGGAGGGTCCCCTTGGGGCAGTGGAAGGGGACGTGGGTGCCCCTGCAGGGACATCCAAGCCAGCTGGAGAGCTGGAGACTTCATCCTAAAGGCAGTGGGGCACCCGTCGGGTGTTCTAAGCAGAGTAGAAGCCAGAGGGGATTTACATTCTGGGGAGCCCTCCAGCAGGCGTGCTGACTACAGACTGTGAGCCGAGACAGGTGGGGAGGCAAGACAGTGGTGGCCCATCCCGGGACAGACGCCCTGGGAAGAGACAGAGTGGACAGAGGAGAATTTAAGGAAACTGTTAATAATGGCCAACTGAAAACGGGCACCTGCCATCTGCCTCTGAAAGGGAAAATATTAGTCGCTCAGTCGTGTCCAACTCTTTGTGACCCCATGGACTATAGCCCGCCAGGCTCCTCTGTTCTTGGAATTCTCCAGGCAAGAATATTGGAGTGGGTTGCCATTCCCTTCTCCAGAGGATCTTCCCAACCCAGGGATCAAACCCAGGTCTCCTGCATTGCAGGCAGATTCTTTACTCTCTGAGCCACCAGGGAAGCCATAAAGGGTGGTATGTCACACCAGGGAGGTCAGTAGGTGGCAGGGGGAGAGGAAGAAGAAAGGCTTCCCTAATCGGGAATCAAACCCAGGCCGCGGCAGTGAGAGCACGGAATCCCAACCACCAGGGAGCTGCCTTTACAAGGATGCAATCAATCACTGTAGTCACTGACCTTTGACACATCCTGAAATGAGTTCAGGGTGGAGATCAAGAATGAAACTCTGTGCTCTGGGGAAAACCCACAGAACAGGGCTTCAGATAGTTATTTTCAGGATATTATATGAGCCCAAATTCTTGCATCTTCTCATATCTACAAAAGCACTAAAATCATTCATGAAGACACCTGCTCCTCGTGACTAGCAGCAAGCATCTACCAAAGTGGGTGTTTGACTGCACGTATCCCCTTCACTAAAATCATATGTAACACTGACCTTGCCCCCCTACCTCTTTGGAGCAGATTCTCAGCTATCTGAGATGCTGTCTCCTTGGCTATAGTCCTCATTTGCCCCCAATAAAACTTAACTCACAACTCTCACATTATCCTTCTTGTTTCCATTCGACACAATCCATTAAACAGCTTTGTAAAATGCTGTGTAAGAGCCTGCAGTGTGGGTGTGCAAAGGAAAATATCACCTTATTCAAGGCCATGTTTACTCTCAAGAATGTCATATGCCAAACTAAACCAGACCACTCATAAATGCATTTGTCAGGCATTTTGTAGCAGCGAGGGTCAACAAGGATATCACATGAGCCTGCTCCGTGCCTGGAGAAAGGATACTGGGTGACAAGCCAGCCATCCCTGTGGAGCTCCATGCCGGGGTCACAGGCCAACATTTCCAGAATGAGCCAAGCTCCATGACAACCATTGTCAAAGGCCATCTTGTTTGTCAAGAGCCGCCCTGTCCCTAGCCAGCCAGCTCGCATCTCTATATTCAGTAACACATGCACCATAGAGAATCAATGACTTAACGCCAACCCTTCCCTTAGGAATTTTCTTTCTCCTAAGTCTATAAAAATTGGCTGTAAGTCCACAAAAGCATCAGCTCTCCCTTGAAAACACCTCAGGATCGGCCTGCCGTTCTAATAGCATCTCCCGCTCTCTCCTCCCTTTGGCGGTCATCTCTCCCTGGTCTGTCAGAAAGCTGGCCTAATGTCTTGGCAACACCTCTCATTATATCTGTCCTTTGTTCTCAATGAATCCTCTCTTCTAAAATACTCTGTGTCTGGAAATTCTTTTCCAGCCCACGCCCAGACGGCCATAACATTTGATGGCCAATATGGGAACTGAACCTGCAACCTTGGTGTTACCAACACCTGACAGATAGAACTCTTCTTTCTGCTTTTCCCGCTACTCACTACTGCCTTCACAAGTTCACCTGTGGAGTATTGCCATAGCACATAATCTAATCACAGCTTCTGATTTTTTTACAATCTTTTTCTGCAGTCATGTTTGGGTTGACAAGCCATCTCTTCTGCTTTCATACATACTATCAGACAATTTGAAGTACCTCAAGGTACTTCAGTAACCTACCGTGTTAGCATATGGATTAGCTAGTTCAAGTAGAAAACCATTGCTTACCTTCCCTTTCTTCCCCTGAGTCTCAAACTGAATATCTCCAAAAGCATCAGTGGGAAATTCCTTTGTATGTTTCTTGTAATTCCATTTCTCATTTTGGTTGATCTGAGTGCCTTCTATGTGTTGGTTCTGGGCATAGCCACACTTGCACACATTTTCCCTGAGTAGGAGGATATTGACAGGAAGGAACAGATTTCATTAAATCTACTTAAACGTTTCATCACGTTTCTTAGACTACACATGATTAGCTTAAATCAACACAAGAAGAGATTTTAGCATCACATCTAATTTCCAGACTGTTTTCATCATCTCGGTTGTTTAAAAACTATCTCGATGTTTCATCCCTGTGACATGGAAGATTCAGGCAATACACTGCACTTGCATCTCCACTGAGGAAGAAGAAAGCAGGAATGCAGGGAATAAAAAACAACAGAGAAGACTTCTTGAGCCTTCACATGCTCTGGCCATAGCCCTAACTATTCTAGACTCCCAGTCACTTCTCTCTCAGGTTCTGCAGGGCACTTCCGTTTCTTTAGAGTAAATTTCTTTATTTAGGTTAAAATAACTCAGGGTCCTTGTAACTAAAAGTCTTAATTATTAACACTGTGTATGTGTGTGTATGTAGGTGTGTTCAGTCGCTCAGTAACATCCAACTCTTGCAACCCCATGGACTGAAGCCCACCAGGCTCCTCTGTCCATGGATTTCCCAGGCAACAATACTGGAGTGGCTTGCCATTTCCTGCTCCTGGGGATCTTCCCAACCCAGGGATCAAACCCATGTCCCCTGCACTGCAGGTGGATTCTTTACCACTGAGCCACCAGGGAAGCCCAGATCTTAATTACTAGAGGGTATAGAAATTATCTGTATTGATATCAAAACATTCAATATTTTCTAGAGTTATAAAAATTCAGCTAGAACCTAGAATCCAAAATCATCCCTCCACCAGTAACCTTGCCTCTTTTCTTTTTTTTTGAACAGTTCTCTTGGGCATCACTCAGTTTAGCCAAGGGAAAAAAAAAGTCAACTGGAATTGATTACAATTGTTTAAGTCTTTTCTCCAACTAAGCCAGGGGGCACTTCCTGAGCTGAGGCTGCTCCGGTGGTATCAGGATCCTCCCCACTATTGTGGTTCAAGTTGGCTTCCTCCCGTCTTTCTTTAGCTGTTTCTGTCCCACTATGCTTTGGGGTCCTTCCACACCCACCCAAGTTCATTGCAGGATTGGGGAGGGAAGTTCCTGTCCCAACTGTCTTTGTTACAACTGAAGAGTGACTCTGGAATCCTTTTCCTTTCCAAGAGTTGGGGTGTGTTTTGGGTGACCTCGAATGAGAAGCTTGTCTGGCTCCATCTTGATGATTGGATTGGTAGCCCTGTAAGCACCAGTGTACATGAATTGGTCTACAAATAAAGAGGAGAAGGGAAGAATTCCAGGAAGGCATTAGGAGCACAGATACTTGGAAGAGGCATAGAAGTGACAGAGAAGGGGGATGAAGAGGATTAGGAGAGAGTCAGGATGCTAGTTCTGCCCCTTGGGACAAGTCTGAATCCTACAGAATTACACTGTCAATATAGTAGCTGCTAGCCATGTGTGGCTATTATTTAATTTAATTTGAAAATTCAGTTCCTTGGTTGCACTAGCCAATTTCAAATGCTCACATGGGATGATGCAGATAAAGAATATTCCCGTTATAGTAGAAAGTTCCATCACACAGAGCCCATTAGAACAAAAGCAAAGTTCTTCCTGTCTCTACCTAGAACCCAGGATGGCTGAGGCAGTGAGGACTGCAGAGAACAAACCCGGATCCAGGAACATACAGCCTTGAGAGTGCCAGGAGGCGACCCCTAAGTTGGGCAGCAGTGTCAGAAGGTACCCTCAGCAACAGGGGCCATAGTCAGGCATCGCTCTCCAGTGGCCACACAAGAAACAGAAAGGGGTTAAAGAAGAAAAACATGAGTGGCCTGGCTTAGCACATACGGGACAACTCTGGGGGGATTTGGAGTAGTTTAGGTCAGCTGGTGTGCCAAGCAGCAGCAAAATTACACTATCACTGTTACCAGTCACTTCCTTTGAGTCCTTTGTCCAATGAGTAATTTAGATTACACAGAGCATCCCCACTGCTGATAGACAGATGAAAATAATGAATATGAGAAGTTAAAAAGCTTATGGCGTCTTGACTCTGGCCTACAACCTTGGGTCTCCTCTGAGACAGGCACTGGGAGACCCCGAGGTGGTCCTGTCCTCAGCTGGCATTGCGGAGGGTGAGGGCTACTCACAGCAAGGCCCTTCGTTTGGGGTCAGACCTGAGCTGCAAGCAGACACCATCAGGTGGGTAGTTGTAGATTTCCCTATCCTCCATCCACTTCTGCTGCAGCTAGTAGAAACACCCTGACTTTCCTTTGAGGACCCATCCTTCCCACATCAGGTCCATATGGACACAACACCCAGTCAGTCAGTTCATTCACTCAGTCGTGTCTGACTCTTTGTGACCCTAAGGACCGCAACACACCAGGCTTCCCTGTCCATCACCAACTCCCGGAGTTTACTCACGCTCATGTCCATTGAATCAGTGATGCCATCCAACCATCTCATCCTGTTGTCCCCTTCTCCTCCCACCTTCAATCTTTCCCAGCATCGGGGTCTTTTTCCAGTGAGTCAGTTCTTCACATCAAGTGGCCAGAGTATTGGAGTTTCAGCTTCAACATCAGTCCTTCCAATGACCCAAGACTGGCCAACTACATATTTCATCACCTTCTCAAGGATTAGAGTGGGTCCATGGCCCATGCCAGGCCAATAAGAGCCATGAACTCCAAGATCAAGGGTCCAGGACTTTGGGTAGAATTGCTAGGAACGAGGCCCTCTTTCCCCTCACTGGTAAACTGAACTGTTATCAGCCAGAGTTGTGGTGTCCATTTTGCCATTACAAAGGAGGAGCCTTCCCACCCAGAGAAGGACAGACCCACAGGTAAAAAGAGGCGGGGTCTTGGTGACACTAAGCCCTGGATCTGGCTGTGCTTTCCAGCCACAAGTTCCCATTACAACCGCCCCTCATTTAAGCCAATTAGATTGGATATCTGCAAATGACAAGGTACTGATGAATAAAGTCAGCCTAAGGCAGGGTCATTCTTAGAAGGGGAAAGAGCTGAGCCTGAAAGAACGTACACATGGTTGCTTCCAAGTCCTAGCTATTATAAATAGTGCTGATCTAGAGGGGTGGTCTGGGGGCAGGGGAGGAAGGCTCAAGAAGGAGGTGATATAGGTATAATTATGGTGATTTGCATTGTTGTATGACAGAAACCATCACATTGTAAAGCAGTTTTCTCCCAATTAAAAAATAAAAAAAGAATGCACAAAGAAGAATCAGAAAACTGAGTTCAATCCTTCATTTCTCTCCTACCAGTGAAAGTGTTAGTCTGCTGCCTTGCAGGCAGGTTCTTCACCCCTGAGCCCCCAGGGAAGCACACGGTTTATCACAGGATGTTGAATATAGTTCCCCGTGCTATACAGTAGGACTTTGTTGTTTATCCTTTCTATATATAATAGTCTAGCTATTCATTGATTGTTTAGTTGCTGCCATAGTTTGTGTTTAAGCACTGACTCTCTGTTGACCAGAGCAGTTAGAGCAAGATCAGGAGTGTTATAATCAGCCTTAGATCCAATCTTGGCTTGGCTGCCTGTTCACTGCATGAACTTAAACTAATTATTATCTTTTGAACTGAATTCTCTTATCCTAGAAATCCAGCAAAGTATACACTCTGAGTTGTAGTAAGGATTCAGTGGGATGTTTCCTAAAATTCCTACCATAGAAAGTTCTCAGTCAATGTGCTTTCTTTCTTTGTATAAATTAGAAAATGAACATCAGAAAAAATAAGAGATTTCTATTTTGTCATTGGTATAAACTTAGTCATTATGAAGCATTTTGACAGAGTATAAACTCTGTGAGTCAGCTATCTATCCCCCACATTTCCCTGAAAGATTTTGTGTTAATTTGTTTGACTGGTAGAAAATACCATTTGGATTCATTCATTCATTCAACAAATATTTATTGAGCATTGACTGTATCAGGGAACTTTACATACTTGATCATGAATTCTACAACTGCCCTGCAAGGTAGCTTTTATCATTTGACTGACAAGTCAAGTGAGGCCTGGAAAGGCTCAGTGCTTTACCCAGGGTCACATTGCTGGGCTTCCCTTGTGACTCAGATGGTTAAGAACTGGCCTGCAATGCAGGAGATGCAGGTTTGATCCGTGGGTCAGGGAGATCCCCAGGAGAAGGAAATGGCAACCTACTCCAGTATTCTTGCCTGGAAAATCTCATGGACAGAGCAGCCTGGCAGGCTACAGTCCATGGGGTTGCAAAAGAGTTAGACATGACTTGGCAACTAAACAACAGCAATAAATGATAAACCATAATGGAAAAGAATATTTTTAAAAAGAATATATATGTGTGTATAACTGGATCACTTTGCTATACAGAAGAAAAAAATGCAACATTATAAATCGACTATACTACAATTTATAGAATTAATAGCTAGACTGTCTCCTATCGCCAGTAGGCAAAAGAGAGGGAGCAGAGAGGAACATATGAGAGAAAGAGAGGACTAAAATCTCTTCATTAGAGCCCAGGGCACCTTCCGTGGGAAACATCATCAGTCAGTCCACTTATCACTGGCCCATTAGGTAACATTCACCGAGGACCCCTCTGGGGGTTGCTCCCCAAGGCTTTTGTGACTCAGCCTGGATGTTCCAGGGAGACTCAGCATAGATGAACACCCAATCAGACAAGAGAAGCCACAGTCAACAGCCAGACAGGAGCCGGTCAGATTGCCACGTGTGCGCATGCCTGCCGTTGCCTGCCAACAGCTATAAAATAACAAGGTTCATTGCCACGGCCACCTGGGTGGGCTCCCAGGCTCACGGGAACACCAAGAGAGTGACAGCCTATCTTGGAACCTTCACCCACTCCTGCCAAAGCTTAAAATATGAAATGATGCCTCTCTAGGGACAAGCTGCTTGCCAAATTCTTCCTGCTTGCACACCATTTCTGAGAACTGCAAGATGCAAATAACCTGAATAATGAACTAGTCTGCTGTCATGGTTGTTAATAATTTATCTTTGAACATACTAGCAAAATCAGAGGCAAAAGAGGTACTTACGTGGCCTTGGAATCTTTGGTAAAGAAGACACACTCCCGTTTCTTAAAATTTGCTTCAATGAAATTCACCAAGTCCTTTGGAGAGAGAACATGGGAAGAGCACATCACTAATTTGCTCTTCACCCCTGCTGCTCTTCATGAGTGAACTAAACTTATTTCAAAGGGTTTAAGGATTCACTGCAGATCAGTAGCACCCAGCATCCCATCATGCCTTTAGAGTACACAGACCTTTAAAAAAGAGGCATATGTTTAAATTTTTATAACTAAATGTAAATTTTTCTAACAGTTACTTGGCATGATCTTGTAACAAATGTCACACACACGAAGTATGTTTTTTCAACTCTAAAGCAACTGGGGGAAAATAAGGATNAGACCTTTAAAAAAGAGGCATATGTTTAAATTTTTATAACTAAATGTAAATTTTTCTAACAGTTACTTGGCATGATCTTGTAACAAATGTCACACACACGAAGTATGTTTTTTCAACTCTAAAGCAACTGGGGGAAAATAAGGATTTGTTGGTAGCTTAGCATAAATAATGTATTACTGCAGATTCCCATTCCTCTAATGCTTGCTTTTCCAAAGATGATAAAGTGCAAATGCTCTTTTCAGACTTGCATTTGTCCCCCCATGGGCAGGTGGTCAGGCATATCCAGGACCTAATTCTGACACGTAATGGAAAACTTCCCTTTAGGTGACAGAAGCAAACCAATTGGCAAAGGTTGAAAACTACTTTGAAAATACATATACTCCTCAGAATGGGAAAAGATATTTGCAATATGTATTGATCACCACAGGCTTGGTAAATAGAATATATAAAAGACAATGAGACCCCAAGAATAAGACAGATAACGTCAGGGGAAAACGGCAGGAGACGTGAACAGGCATTAAATAAAAGAGGATACAGAAGCCATAAATGTGTGAGGAGCTCAGCCTCCTCGGGAATGAGGCAAACGTGAAGGGAAACCACAATGATGTCCCACGACACATGCACCAGACCGGAAAAATTAAGAAAGCATTGGATCCAAAGGCCTGGGAAGGGCCCAGCAGGGGGCCTCAGACCCACTGTGGGTGGTGAGCAAATTGGCTCAGCTCTGGGAAACTGGCCACCGCTGTTCCCTCGAAATAGTCCCTGTGTCCTGGGAATGGCCTGCATGCTCAGATGCCTGGCGCAGGGCTGGCAGCTTTAGGGGACTGTCTTGCCCCGTGGAGGTGGGGCTGGCACTCCAAACCCACTTCTGTCAGGTCGCCGGGCACCCACAGTTCTCAGACAGTGTCCTATGCGTTTTCCTCCTGTCTTTGCACCCAGGCCAAGCCTGACTCCTCATCCCCCACAGCGGTGCCACCACAAAAAGGGAGGGGACAGTCCCTGTCCTGGGAAAAGGTCCACCGTGCCTTCAGCAGCCTCCCCCAGCCGTCTGGTGCCCACTACTGTACGTTCTGAGACATCAGAGAATGGGAACCACATGCCCACTATACCTGGCCCTTTAAATGATATTTCACCATAAATCCTGTGTCTTAACCCCAATTCCCACTAGGGAGAGGTGTTCACCTTCACCCAGCGGCCTCAACCCAGAGAACCTTCTCCAGGGACCACCTCACACATCTAGGAAGGTTCAGAATGGCCCTGCTCCTAATAGCAAGATCAGAAACCCAAATGTTCATCCCCCTTAGGCTGGACAAAGGAGCGCATGAGGAAGCCCAGTCCAGCAGGACTGAACCAACGCCACTACACTTGGCCACTCGGAGGAACCACAAACACAGGTCAGCTGGCCAGAAAGCGAATCCACAAAGGAGCACTGACTGTGGGACTCCACGAGTGTCAAAACAGACAAAACGGGGCCACCCACTGTTGACGCACATATACTCAGACCATAAGTTTACGACTAAAAGCAAGGAACGGGGAACACAAAATTCAGGACAGCGTGGAGGGCTTTGACACAGGGTCACATGGGAGTCTCCTGAAAAGTGCTGGTGATGGGTGCAAGAGTGTTGGTTGTATTGTTTTTCCTTAGGCTGGGAATTTATGTTTGTAGGTTCTTTTCTACCAATATTGATGATAAAAATGTAGAAAGCAAAAATAAATCTTACATCCTCTGAATGAAAAAGTTTTAAAGCCCTGTGATGTCCTTTCATCCTCATCATTTTTTCTAGCTCTTCACTAGTTTTAAGTCTACTTCACACAGATAAAGAGAGGAGACTTCTGCCCACTCACCCCTCCCCACCCCAAGTCCGAAGCAGCAACTCCGTGTGCAGGGACACAGAATGACGAGAGGTGAGACAGGTACCAAGGAGAAGGGCTAGAAGCTACAGCCAGAACAAATGCAGACGCAGAATGAGCCACCAGCCACGAAATTAAACAAAAGGACTTCAAAACTCACTTCTAAGGTGAACCCACAGGGCTGGAAGCAAGAACACCAAGCATTAAATCATAAAAATAAATATTCATAGTATGGTATTTCACTACAACGTGTAAAATATGTAAAATAGATACCACATATAAAAATAGCCAGTGGGAATTTGTTGTGTGACTCAGGGAGCTCAAGCTGATGCTCTGTGACAACCTAGAGGGGAAGGATCTGGTGGGAGGTGGGACGGAGGTTCAAGAGGGAGAGAATGTGTGTCTATCCATGGCTGATTCATGCTGATGTATGGCACAAACCAACACAATATTGTAAAACAATTATCATTCAATTAAAACTAAATATTTTTTTAAAGTGCAGTATTGAAAATGTTATATAAGTCAGCTAATAGGTGCACTCTTGAATGAATAAACAACAAGGTCTTCTTGTATAGTACAGAGAGTTATATGCAATATCCCGTAATAAACCACAATGAAAAAGAATATGAAGAAGATGCATATATGTGTGTGTGTGTTAAGTGAATCACTCTGCTGTACAGCAAAAATTAACACATTGTCAATCAACTACACCTCAATAAAATCTGTTTTTTAAAGGCCCAAAACAAATGCATTCTTTAACAACGTAAGGTTACAGTTACAATCTTTAAAACAGGAATGCTTGACAAACAACACAGAAAAGAAAACACAGACATGAATGAGATGAGACATGATCTTCTTAAAGGAGTGAAGTGAAGGTCACTCAGTTGTGTCCGACTCTTTGCGATCCCATGGACAAGCCCATGGAATTCTCCAGGCCAGAATACTGGAGTGGGTAGCCTTTCCCTTCTCCAGGGGATCTTTCCAACCCAGGGATCGAACCCAGGTCTCCTGCACTGCAGGCGGAGTCTTCACCAGAAAGGAGGAGTACGTCCGCAAAGAACCTTAGCTGCGTGTTGGAGGGGGCGCGGTTAACTCACGCTCTCCGCGGAGGACACGTCGGTGCTGCGGGACGTGCTGGAGTACAAGGTCCGAGTGCTGTCCGGCGTGCCGTTCCTTCTGTTCCTCATGCTGAGCCGTGCGCCCTTGAACGACATCTCTTCTGTGGACAAAGGGGAGGGGGGAAGATGGGGTCACCAACGTGGGCAGGCTTCGCTGAAGGCTTTACCGCAGTGCCCTCCCCGAGCCCCTCCCCTCTCGCCGACTGCTGCCCCAGAGCCCCGTCCCCACCCACGCCCACCCTGGCCCCCCTCACAGGGTAATTGTCCCCGGCCTCTGCCCTCCACTTCATCTCTCCTCCGGGACCCAGCCTGAGTTCAGTCCCTCCCCACGCCTTCCCTGGCCCCTCCCGCCTGGGCAGGGCCCTCCGGGTGTGCCCTCTTGTCTGGGGGGGTGGGATCCAGCATCCCTGACCACCACACAAGCGGTGAAGGATGGCTCCTTTCACGCAGATGGATTTGGAGAGAGCTGTAACCAGCGGCTTGCAGCTAGAAGACCAGCTGGCAGGCAGGAGAGAGGACGCCTGCCCTGATCCTGTCACAGGAAGGGGGAGGAGGACTTTGATCGACAGGGCAGTGGGCCCCAAGGACCAGTGAGCTCCCGGTCATCCTGACACCTGGAGCCGGCACACAGGTCCCAGGGGACCCTGATAACTTCCTCCCAGGCTCCAGGAGCAGGCCATGAGCTGGGGCTATCATAGAAGCCTCGGTTGCCATGGAGATGCCCCCAGGATGCCCCCTGCTCTTCTGGGGATGTGAGTCTCCCATCCCAGCTTCAGGAGCAACCTTTCCCTCTTGTCTCCCGAACGTTATCTCAGACCTTTATCCACCAACAGCTACACCACATCCCTGGGTGGTGGCCGAGCAGACACAGCAAACATGGGATTCCTAGAACAATGGCATCATCCTTCTCCTACACTCCCCTCTGCCCACACCCCGATCCTCTGTCTGCTCCTGGGACCAAGCTCCCCCAGCTGCCCATGACCTCTCCCCCCCACCACCCTCGCCTCGGTCATCACCACATCCAAGGGGCAGTCCCACCCCTTCACCCCTCTCTAGCTCTTCCTGTGGCCCACAGCTGCCCCCCAGACCCAGGTACCTCAGCCTGACCTTACTCACCTCCCTCTCCCTTCTGGTCCAGGCTCCTCACTGGGCCCCGACTTTGCCATGTGGGTCCCATGGTCTGTCTGCAGCCCTCTTCCCCAACTCCCCTGACACCCAGCTGGTTATCTCCTGCTCATCCTCCCGACCTTATGCACCATCTCTTCAGGGAGGTACCAATGATGCCCAAGCTGGCACAGGCCCCCGGTGGCCTATTCTGGAAGCACCGCCTACTCTCCACCAAGACATGAGTACCCTGGTATGTTTCATGATCTGTTTGGCCCTCTGTCTGTCTACTTAAGACTAAAACCAGATCTATCTGTTCATCAAGGAGATCAAACCAGTCCATCCTAAAGGAGATCAACCCTGAATATTCATTGGAAGGACTGATGCTGAAGCCGAAGCTCCAGTACTCTGGCCACGAAGATCCTACTCATTGTAAAAGACCTTGATGCTGGGAAAGATTGTAGGCAGGAGGAGAAGGGGGTGACAGAGGATGAGATGGTTAAACAGTGTCACCGACTCAATGGACATGAATTTGGGCAAATTCCAGGAGTTCCTGGAGGACAGAGGAGTCTGGCATGCAGCGTCCATCGGCTCACAGAGAGTCGTACACGACTGAGCAACTGAACAGCAACTGCATTCCCAGGGCCTGGCACAGAGCCGGAAGCAGAATGTATTAACACCCAGATGGACGAAATACACAAGCAATTATATAACACTCCCCCTCGCCCCCAAATCCTCCTTTAGTTTGCAAATTACTTCCGCCTCACCGTCCACAACCCCTGCACGTGGAAAGGCTGAGAGCCCCGGCTCAGACACTCAGCTCCTGACCTCTCAGCCTGGCTCCTCCTCCCAGATCGCCTGTCCCAGCCTCAAAACCCTCCTGTGCCACAGAGATGGGAGGCCTCTTTAAAGCCCGCTGAGAACCCTCAGGCCAGGCTGTTTAAAAGAACAAGCGCCTCTTTTACTTCTCTCTCTAGGCGTTTCACAGAGAGACTCGGAGTATTAATTGGTACTTTACATACATTATTGTAAAACCACAAATCAATCCTGCCAGGGATTTACTGCGATTCCCATACAGCAGCAAATGGCTTCTAAGTAGGGCATCAACGGTCAGCAAGTGATTCATTTGCTCGCAATGAAAAAACTGCTGATTTCATTGCAGCGGAAAATGTCTATTTTTGCTTTTTAATCACAGTTCAAATAAGAAATGGGAAGGCTGTGTAAAAAGGGCAGGAAGCAGTCCTGTTCTGACATTTCAGGGGCCTTTATTCCATGTTAGTTACTAATTGGTTTTCTGAGGTCAGCTGATATTCTAGTTGACTAATTATGAGTCTGGACGAGCTTCACACTGCCTCATTTGCCAGGTATCCCAGCTATACCATTTATCCATCTCCTAAACACAGTTGGGAGTTAAGGCTTGGGTGTGAAAGGGGTATTAGGAGAAGGGACATAGGGTCAAGGACCAAGTGCTTCTAGGGAGGTCTGGAGAGGAGAGAAGAGGGTCTACAGGGACCCCCAGGATCCTTGGAAAGAAGGTCGTCCACCCCTGAAAGGGGGTGAACTGGAAAAGCAAAATGACAACCACGAGGAGGAGAAAGGGAAAGCCACACCAGGGAGAAACCAGTTAATGCATCAAATACTAAGGAAAAGTCATGAAGTCATACCACTAGGTCGAACAATACAAAACTCTGTAGAAAAATGGGCGAAAGAATCCAAAGCCATCAAACAGGGAAACACAAGTCACTAATAAACACAAACATATGCTATGCCTTCCTAGGAATAAAAACAACAAACCTCCAGTGACAAGGAAGCATCCAGGGGAGACAGTCTCAGATGACAGCATTTGATGTTGAAAAGAACTTAGTGCAAACTCTCTCATATGGCTGGGGGGCCTGGGGAGGTAAAAATCATTTTCCAGCCTGCAAACCTGTGTGGCAACAATGTAGCAAAAGTTCAAATATTTTCCTTGGTGCTTTGGAGAATTCTAGATAAAAGAAGTCATCAGAAAGACATTAAAGGGTATACTTAGAAGATTTTCATTTCATAGAAAAAATTAGAAATGACCTAAAGTTCCAACAATAGGAGAACATTACATGCGGAAGGACTAAGAAGATGGTACCATGAATGAGGTGTATTTTAATGACACGGAAAAATTAATAAGATTTATTGTGAGCAGAAGAAAAGCAGGAGGCAGTGGTCCTTAGAGAGACAGTCAGCTTGGGTTCAACCACTCACCCTGTGACCTTTAGTGGGTCTTTCACCCTCTCGGCTTCCCTATAAAGGTGAAGGCAGGAGAAGGGGATGACAGAGGATGAGAAGGTTGGATGGCATCACCGATTCAAAGGACATGAGTTTGAGCAAACTCTGGGAGCAGTGAAGGACAGGGAAGCCTGGGGTGCTGTAGTCCATGTGGTCGCAGAGTCCGACACCACTGAGTGACTGAACAGCAACGACAATGAGCTAACACACAATGCTCCTTCAGGAAGGGCAACTATGGAAGAAGGGGCTGTACCGTCGTTGCATGTGACGTGTATAAGGCACATGGAAGTAGATGCACCAAGATGGTAACCACTGCTATGTGTGTGAGTGGGACTGACTGACTCTAACGCTATCCTTTCACGTTTTATATTTGGCAAAATTAAATGTATTCCTTATGTAACCCTGAAAACATCTTTAATAAACAGGAAACGTTTCTAGAGACTGGGTAAGGCAAAGATAACCAATGACCTTAGTGATAACGTTTCAGTAAGTGGGGGTGAGAGACTGAGGACCATAGGACAGACCTCTCCATCCACAAGAGCACATGGGTGGGGGTAGCTTCAGGGGAGGGGAGGGTACAGGCTGACCTGTTAACTCCCAAGGGGCACGATCATGTTTAAATCCTGGGGGATGAAAACTAGCAGAGAGAGAGAAACAGTTATGACCGTGTAGAGCACAGAGTAGGACTTTGTGGGGTAGTTGGGAGCAGTAAGACTACAGCATTAAACTGATCAACTGAGGATAAATGATAAATCGAAGATGAAAGGAAAAGAGAGTTGAGAATAACACAATAAATGCTGATGAAAACTTGGGGGGTCTTTTTCTTTCCCTCTTGCATTGTATTCTTTGAAATCATTCCTGGACATTACACTGACTTCCTACGGCCCCAGGTCCTTGGTCTCAACTGGACTGTCTGACACTTACTCCAGAGAAGAAATGCCAAGTCCGCCCCAGACGAGAGGCTGGCTGGGGACATGCACGCCTGTGACATTGCACACTGTGGAACTCTAGAGAGTTGTTTAAAAAGCCAAGTTTAGAGTAGTGGTCTCAAAGGTGGAGCTTGGGGCTTCCCGGTTGTGAGGGGCTCAAGGGCCCCTCCCCACAGCTGTGGGAAGAGTGCTGCTCCTTCAGATTTGTATCTTCAGGGTCCTTCCTAACAGGCTCCCTCTGGGGAAGGCTTTGTGCTGCCCAAAAGCATCTGGGCACATCTGCTCTGGGGCTTGGCTGCACACTTGCTCCTGGTCACCCAACCACACAGGCAGCCAGGAGATGTCTGCGGCTTCCGTCTCTTGGAATGGAGAAGAAAGAACTACTTTACTTGAGGAGAAGTGAGTTTGTAAATGGTTTACCAAGCTCCAGAAGTTAAAGATGATGGGCTGATTCCCCAAAACCCCAACACTTAGGGGTCGGAGTTTCACATACGTCTTGGAATACATGATCATGTAACTCCTAAAGTGTAACACGACACAACGGAACATGACATAAGCATAATACATAACTCATGGTCTTAAAGCCTAGCCAAAGTCATCTCTTGGATATTACTTTCTCTGGATCAGAAGTGAGATGTTTAAATGAGATATTTGGTATCCACATGAAAGAGACAGTTCACCGCTTGGAGGGCTGTGGAGTATAATGTTGTCAAGCATGAGTTTCAAGCCTAGGGCCATCTTTTTGCTTTCTCTGAGCGCAGTTCTCTAAATTAATGAAATTCTCACTGAGGTGTAGGAAAATGGAGTCA